CCCCCCCCCCCCCCCCGCTCTTTCTCTCGCTCATGCACGCTCTCACTCTCACTCTCGCTCTCTGGCTCTCTTTCCCCTAAGATTTCTGTATGTGTTATACCCTGATGCTAATTCAGAAGATGCCACAGAAAGCAGTGCACAATCAGAAGGTAGCTCTGACATTGATGAGCTAAAGTTATGATATAGCAGACTCCAAGAACACTTCCAAATAGGGGAAAATGTTCAAACATCATTTCTCTTACATATTCCAAAGAGGTCGGAAAGAATCCCCAGTGCGCTCAGCAACCTCAAAGAAACTTTCCTCCTTTATAAAAAGAAAAGAAATAATAAATAGAGAATCTTGCTTAGCACACATCATCAAAGTCTTAGCTATACTCAGCTGCTTGGTCTGAATCACAAGCAGACTTCCCACACACAGTGATGGTCCCACCAAACATCTACCTGTTGATTCTGAACAAGAAATCCTGATCATTCTATAGACTATCTCCTTCCTTTCAGGTATTTCTCTTATAGTCCTGGCTTCCTCAAAAGCCAAATAGTACTTATTGAACCTTCACACCAATTCATCTGCCCTCAGTTCAATGAATCCACTCCTATCTGGTGCACACTGTAACTTCCAGGTGACAAATAAAGCCAGGAAAATGTCCAAACCTAGGTGGCTGTGGCATAGCCAAAGTCTCTTCCTGATCACCTTGATCTTCCACCTGACCTGCCTATGAATTAAGTCAATCCTATTGGTCACTTACTACCTGGCTTGGGCCACAGGGAGAATAAAAGACTTTCATGAGATTATACTAGTACAACAAGTTGGTTGTAAGAGCTCATCCTTAAGATGATGATAGTCAGGAATCCCTGTTATTAGAGAAATGAGTTCTAGCCACTCCTGCGAATAGGGCAGTTTGCACATGTGTTACTGTACCAACTTTTAAACTACCTCCTGTTCAGATGCAGTCTGAACCCTGAGGCCAGCCCAGGAGAGCTGCCCAGCAAGAGGCACAGTGAGGAGTTCACAGGATCTTGTATGTTACAAGCAGCATTGACTCTCATTATTCATCATAGTTATGTTCCATGATGTCTCAGTGAATACTGACCCATTGCTCCTGGGGAATTTCCAGGTTAGGTTCCTGCAAGGGTCTGGTCACAAGCTCCATCAGCCAATCAGTTCCATCAGCCATTGATACGGTAACCTTGTTTTATGTGTGTCTCTGTTTAAAGACACATCATTCAATATATATTGTTGATTCATTAACATGGAATTCACAGCCAACGGCACTATAACGCATGCCTGAACAAAGATTCTCTAACACATGTGCTTAAAACACATTGAAGCCTCCTGCACTTAGGAACATTAGACAGCACTTCAGTACTGTACTTGGAGGCCATTTTAAATGGTGAAATCACCAACAAAAAGCACAAAAGTGTGGAAATGTAGCACAAATAGACCATGAAAAAGACATTAGGTCACAGTATGAGAGCTGAAACCAGAGGCAGAGATGGCCTTGTTCAACAACTGGAAATGTGAGTGCTGGGTGACTCAAATTTTTCACCACTCTGTGCATGTCCACAAATGACTGTGAAAGCACTGTAATTAATGACTTAGCAGTTACAAATACACTGTACCAGTATGCACATTTGAAACATGAATCTGTGAATAATGTGGATAGCTGTACATTGTACTTTAACTCTTTCTTTTAACGTAGATATTCTGTAGGTGATCTAATTCATCTGCAACGTTATTCAAGCCATTTTCCCCTTTTTTAGATTTTAGTATATTTTTTAAAACAAAAATAAAAATGAAAAAATGACCAATTGGATTATTAAAATTTCAGTATAGTAGACCCCCCTTTATCCATTGGAGACACGTTCCAAGACCACCCTGTGGAAGCCTGAAAATGTGGATAGTACTGAACCCTATATATACTATTTTTTCTTATATATACATACTTTATTTATAATAAAGTTTAATTTAAAAATTAGGCAAAATAAGAAAACAACAATTCTATATAATAAAAGTCTAATATGCAAATTGTCCCCTCGGGCAGTCATTCCACAAGGAGTTCAACCGGGAGACCTGAAGTTCAACCATTAGCTATGATGTGTGCTGACACGGAACATGACGGGTGTTGGTGACACACCACGACCTCTCGCCAGCTACCTACGGGCTGGGGTGACAGGGATGGAGGTGCGGTGAGAATGTGGGGTGTCCCCCGAGCTCTTGGTGGAAGGTCGCAAGGGGAGTGAGACCGAAACACCAGAGCTTGTATGCCAGGGAAGCCCCCACGCTCAAGTGCCAGGTGCCTGTGAGGAGCCCGCCTCACACCCATGCAGCTTCTTCTGGGTGAGCCGGGCCATAGCCACGGGGACTACAGCTGGTCGGGCTACCTGTGAGTGCTCAGGCGCCGGTCTGCAAGGCCGGCCAGGAGAGAGCACACTGTCTGCCTGGTTTCGATGTGACACCACTGGTTGGCCCAGAGGCCCACACTGTGCCCTAGCCTGCCATGTCCAGCCACACTCACCACATCTCCACGTGGGGACTCAGGTGCTATAACTCAGGCAGAGGGTTGTGTGCAGGGCTCAGGGGCCCAGGTGCTGCCCAGACTCTATAGATCAACTGGAACCTACCCTTCCACACCAGATGCTTGTGCTTTGATTGCCAGCCAGGCCTAGGGACAACATCTGTGCATGACTTTTGTACACCAGGCCTCTAGTAACTAATAATAAAATAAAACAATTATAACAATAACTGTAATAAAATTTATGTGAGTGTGTTTTCTCTCTCACTCTTTCTATCTCTCAAAATTCCTTATTGTACTGTATTCACCTTTCTTGTGATGATGTGAGAAGATAAAATGCCCATCCTACTCCTGAATCTGTGTAATCATCCCTTACTTGCAGTACATGGCTTGGTGTCACTCATTTCGGGATCCCTTGCAGAAGTCTTCCACCCACAAAATTAATGCCTTTTCCATCTTAACTAAGTACTGATCACACACTGCAGCCATAAGTTTTGCAATTTGAGATGCAACAGCAAAACTAGCAGGAATATCTTGTTCCTTCTTCACAATTTCACAGATAGCAGACTTGTTCTCATCATAGATCTTAGCAACCTCAACATAAGTCAAGAACTTTCACCTTTTCACATAAAGGAAGCACAATTGTGTTTTACTCCATCTGTATTTCTCTTGGGCATTTCTGAATTGCCAGCTTCATTAATCTTGAAGTGAAATAAGGGTTTCTTGAACACAAGTACTGGGAAACTTTGACAGTGGATCTGATAACCAACCAAACCCCCTACTAAGTGACTAAATGGTGAGTAGGATGCACAGCATGGATACGCTGGACAGATTCACATCTCAGATGGGACAGTGAAATTTCATCGTGCTACTCAGAATGGCATGCAATTTAAAACTTAATGAATTTATTCCTGGAATTTTGCATTTAATATTTTCAGACCACAGTTGACCTCAGTAACTGAAACCACAGAAAGAGAAACCACTGATAAGGGGGATTACTGCATATTGTAAACATTTACATTTGACAAATTAATGCCTATGACTCATGATACCAAAACAATACAATACATCTGGCACTAATCTTAAGATAATTAAAGATTTTCAAAATATTCCTTCATGGATCATCATAGGCAGTGTGGTCTGACAGAGGAACATGAGTTTTAAGTTGTACGATGACAATTGACTTTTACTCCATCTGGGTATTTCTGTCTGTAACCTCATTTGAAGAGAATCCCAGTGTCTATATTTAGTGAACAGGTGGCTCCAGCAGATGATTTTCCTGAACCTACTTGGGACAGGCTCATAAACCAATGGTGATCAAGCTCTCTTCAAGGAGTTAATCACTCTCCAGTTCACAATACAGTTAAAGGAACCCATTGTTTTACCTCCTGGGTGAATGACAACAGAACCCTCAGAAGGAAAGAGCTCAGGACACAATAAAGAAACAGGTTGAACAAATACCAGAGGTCAGACAGATCTACCACAGGTCACTTTCTGGCTCCAGGCCTCAGTTTCCTCAATTGTAGTTAGAAAATGCTTCAGACCAGAGGTTGGCAAACATTTTCTGGAAAGGTCTGGATAGTAAATACTACAAGCTTTATGAGCCAAAAAGCAAAACCAAGGATATTTGTAAGTACTTATATAACAAGAAAGAAAATTCATTTTCACAATTTTTTCTCAACCATTTTAAAATTTTACATTTTAAAATGTAAAAGCCTTTCTTAGCTCCTGGACTGTACTAAACAGACAGTGGGCTGGATTCGGTGCGGGAGATGGAGTTTGCTGAGCCCCACTTTAGGTCAGATGGGTGTTGTCCAACAGAACTCTGTGAAGATGGAAATGTTCTTTATCTGCGCTGTGGCTATTGAACATTGGACATGTGGCTAGTGTGACTGAGGAATTGTATTCTTAGTTTTATTTCATTTCAGCGAATTTAAATTGGAATAGGCACATGCATCTGTGGTCAAGCACAACTTTAGAACTTCTCGCCACTTCCTTGGGCCCTAATATTTTATGTTTCTACTAGAGGCCCAGTGAACAAAATTTGTGCATGGGGGGAGGTGTAACTCAGCCCAGCCTTCACCCTCTCCAATCCAGGACCCCTCAGAGGATGTCCAACTGCCAGCTTAGGCCCAATTCCTGCATGATCGGGCCTAAACTGGCAGTCAGATATCCCTCTCGCAATCTGGGACCGCTGGCTCCTAGCCGCTTGCCTGCCTGATTGTCATTAACCACCTCTGCCTGCTGGCCTGATTGCCCCCTAACTGCTTCCTCCTGCCAGCCTGATCACCCCCTAACTGCTCCCTCCTTCCAGCCTGATCGCCCCCTAACTGCCTCTGCCTCAGCCCCTGCCACCATGGCTTTGTCCAGAAGGATGTCCAGAAGATGTCCAGAATATGTTGGGTCTAATTAGCATGTTATCCTTTTATTAGTATAGATAGTCCACTGCCTTCAAGAGCATCTGTTGTATGAATTTGACAGATATGGAGATTCCTTGGAGATTTTGTTTTCTTAGAACAACATTGATTTTCACTAGACACATGGTTTTCTACAGTGTATCTAGTCTACCATACCCATCCTAATGCTAAATTCCAATGGTGCAGAGAAGCACCATGAGAGCCACAACAAACTCAAAGGGGTGCCACAGAATATTTCATAGAATATTTTATATTTGAATAAACCATGCCATATTCGGCATCTATCTAACTATGTATACTAGCTCACCATCTTTCCAATAGTCTGTATAGTGCTACTAGTTCATAGCTTCATCAGTAGACAGTGCTGCATTCCTTTCAATGGAGTCATATCTTTTAAAGGCTGGGTTTCAGCTGCAGTGATAAAACACAAGAACCACAATGCTGTCTTAGTCCATTCAGGCTACTATAACATAACAGTTTCACAGACAGGTAACAGAAACAACAGAAATTTGCTTCTCACAGTTATAGAGGCTGGAAGTCTGAGATCATGGTAACTGCCTGGTCACGTTCTGATAAGAGCTCTTCCAGGTTGAAGACTGCTGACTTCTCCTTGTGTCTTCACATGGTGGAAAGAATGAGAGAGTTCTCTGGATTCTCTTCTTATAAGAGCACTAATCCCACTTATAAGGGATCCACCCTTATAATGTAATTATCTCCTAAGGCCCTACCTCCAAATACCATCACAGTGGAATTAGGGTTTCAACATATGGATTTTGATCCATTGCAGGTGTCCAATCTAGTTCCAAGATTTTTTTTTAATCCTCACCTGAGGATATTTTTCCATTGATTTTTAGAGAGAATGGAAGAGAGAAGGAAAGACAGAGAAATATATATGTGAGAGATACACATTGATTGGTTATCCCTTCTGCACACTCCCCAACCAGGGCCTGGCCAGGGAGGAGCCTATAACCAAGTACATTCCCTTGACCATAATCAAACCTGGGACCCTTTGGTTCAGAGGCCCACGTTCTATCCACTGAGCCAAATCCGCTAAGGCTAGTTCAAGATTTTTAAAAACACAATTTTTATCCCCTTTTTTCCATTCTACCTCAAAAACTATAACTCTTAATTTTTTCTAATCCACAGGACTTACCAACTTACTCGATAAATTTTCCAATGCTAGTTAGTCCTAACAAGAACAAAATGAACTTTCCCTGCCAAGATCTGGCTAAGGCAAGATTTTGTCCAGGGTTTTTGAGAAAACTTTATTGAAGTACAATTGACCTTTAAACAACATAGGAGATATGGTGCCACCCCCCATGCAGTCAAAAATCCACATGCAACTTTTGACTTTCACAAAACTTAACTATTAGTAACCTACTGTTGACCAGAAGCCTTACTGATAATATAACATATTATATATATACTGTATTCTTACAATAAAGTAAGCTAGAGAAAAAGAAATGTTTAAAAATCATAAGGAAGAGAAAAATTTATCAAGTTTACAAGAAGTAAGTTTACTAGAAGAAAAACATCCATAGTATAAGTTGACCCACCGAGTTCAAACCCATGTTATTCAAGAATCAGTTGCAGCTGTAACTGGTTTGGCTCAGTGGATAGAGCGTCGGCCTGCGGACTGAAAGGTCCCAGGTTCAATTCCAGTCAAGGGCATGTACCTTGGTTGTGAGCACATCCCCAGTAGGAGGTGTGCAGGAGGCAGCTGATAGATGTTTCTCTCTCATCGATGTTTCTAACTCTCTATCTCTCTCCCTTCCTCTCTGTAAAAAATCAATAAAACATATTAAAAAAAAAAAGAATCAATTGCATTTGTCCAATGTAAACTGGGGTTTTCTAACTCACCATTAGAAGTATCTATTTATTTGTAGGGCCTTCAGTTCTTATTTTGTTTGTTTCTTTAATTGATAATTCCATCTTCCACCCCCACTATTCCTGCTTTTGCAAAGAATGGGAAGGAGATTGGTTATGCTACTGATCAACATTCTCTCTGCCAGAGAATAAGAGCCCATTACATGATCATCTCTACAAGCCAGTGAGTAGCCCTGTCTCCACTTGCCCTGCAGACCCAGAAAGTTTAAGGAGTGACTTGCAATCTTGATAATGCTCTTTCCAACTCCCAGGGTTCTCTGGTGTCTGGCTGCCACCTGCTAGAACAATGAATCTGAACCTATTAACATTTTTTTTTCCATTCTGATCATGGGAAAAAGTTGGGAAACATAGCAAGGGTCAGCATGAAAAAATATATATATAATCCGTGCCCTGTTTTTTCTCTAGAACCTCGGTTCTCAACCTGTGGGTCGCGACCCCTTTGGGGGTTGAACGGCCCTTTCACAGGGGTCGCCTAAGACCATTGGAAAACACATATGTAATTGCATATTGTTTTTTTGATTAATCACTATGCTTTAATTATGTTCAATTTGTAACAATGAAATTGGGGGTCACCACAATATGAGGAACTATATTAAAGGGTCGCGGCATTAGGAAGGTTGAGAACCACTGCTCTAGAACCTTCATCAAGAATCTGAAATCTAAGGAGGGAGCTATGTGAATGGTCACCCTCTTCTAATTATTGAGGCAGTTCAAGGGTTTCATCCGGGTTCATAGTAAAATCTCTACAATTGGGGCTGCCACTCCCTACCCCCAAGAGAGTGGGCCACACAAATGCATTTCACCATGGGGTCCAGGGTTTGGAAAGTTCTTGCTTTCAACCCTACAGTTTCCCTTGGCTGAGATACAACCTACTTTACTTAGTTACACTCTACTTTGTCATCCTGGCGCAAAATCTCTCTTTCCCATTGAAAACATAGTAGATCCATATCAATAAAGTAAAAAAGGTCAAGGTTCTATTCAAACACCTCTGAGTTCTAGCAACACCTACTGATGGGCTAGTGGTAGCAACAAGTGGCAGGGGAGGTGTAAGCCCAGCAAATTTCTCCTTTACAAAAACAAAGTGCTTATATTTAAAGGCTAAATGATCTTCTCACTTTGAAATTTCATGATTCTATGGAGAGCTCTGAGGGATTTTGTAGGCTCTCTTTGCTATACAATATGAACAAATTCTATAACCTCCTTGTCCTCAAATAACTCCAAGAAGATGTTAAAAATAAAAGATGTATAAAAAATAATGTCTTCCAAGAACAGGGAAGTCAAAGACTCTGAAGAGAGGACATTACCTGGGAGGCTGAACACCCTTGTCCACTGGGGTTGAGCAAGAGCATCTCAGACAGAAGGAAAGCATGAGCATGGGATGGACACGTGTAATGCATTCAATAAAGACCAAAGGTTAGCCTTTCTCAGCCTCTCAACTTGTCTCCCACCTCTAGCATTTCCCTTTCCAATCCATTCTGACTTCCAAACCAGAGAAATATTTCTAAAAATCAGTTATCTTGGTAGATATGCTTAGCATGCTTGAAATGCAACCCACAGCTTGGCCATTTCTTATCTCTCCAGCTTCATCAACTGACCAGTCCTTCATAGCTGCAACTCTGCTCCAACCACCACTGCTTGGCTAACTCTACCTGATCTCAGGACTTAGCTTAAGGGTGGCTCCAATGAGAAGTCTTTCCCTCTACCAAGGCTGTTTTGGGCTTTTCTTCTAAGTGTCTACAAGTATCCAGCAGCACACATCAGACTATATCATAACGACCTTCTTGCTTGTCTGAACCCCCCAGGACTGTGAGGTACTTAAAAGCAGAAACTCGATAAATATTTGTGGAAGAAAGAAAGGAGAGAGGGAGAAATGGTGGGAGAGAGGGTAGAATCCTGGAGAAATCTCAAATGTGAGAAATAAACTAATGAAGAACTAAGAGCCAACGGAGGAATAATGAGAAACATGAAAGAAAGGTACTATTGTGTGAGCAGAGGAGAAGAGAGCTTTTAGTAAGAGGCTCTTCTCATTGTGAAAGAAATACTCTGGTCAAATCAGGTTGCTGATGATTAAAACTGGGTTCTCTGCCCTTTTTTGTTCCATGAGCCTTTTGGCAGTATGGTGAAACCTATCGGCTCTTTCTCAAAATAATAGTTACTTATACAAAATTTCAGACAGTGATGGAGCACAAGCCAGAGTAAAATTAAGTCATGAATGAATGGGAGGAGAGAAAGTGAAGGTCATGATTATAGGCTCCTCTTTCCAGATGTTTCTGTGAAAGAAAAAGAATGAAAAGACTTGGAGTAGCCTAAGGGGGGAGAAATGTCAAGGGGATAGAGAAATTGAACATCTTCTTATGACCCAAAAAATAATGTCAGGACACAGCTAAATCACTATAGGAAGCCATTCCCCCATCATGAACAAAGGACAACAGATGAGGACAGGGAGTTATTAGCACTGTATGTAGTAGTACAGGGAGATCAAGAACTGCACAACCTCACTGTCAGAACTGCAGGAAAAAAAGACCATGAAGCCATAGCATTCTTTTTCGCTGAAAAGTAACCAACTCTTGTTGTTTGGAATAGGACAGATAATGGGTTGTCTTTGGAGTCAGTCTGCAATTTCCACTCTCCATGTAATACTGATTATAGAAAGGACCATGAAAATAATTCTTCTAGTCCATAGAGAAGACAGAATCTCCCAGAAACTTGCTCCAGATACAGCCTTTCTTATACAGATGAGAGATGGTCTCGGGGCAATAAAAGTTATTGAACCTATTTTTTTTTCTGAGTCAAAATTGAACACTATCAATGCCTGTTGATATCTGAGGCATCAGATGCTTTGTAAAAGAATGTGTACATGAGACACATACAAAATTAAAGAACATGGCAGAACAAACCCAATGGTTATTAAGTACAGAACACAACTGAAACCAAAATTGAGAAAGTCTGGCTTTCTTAATAACTTCCTTTTCCTAGCCAAAGTTAAAAAAAGAAAAAGAAAAAAAAAAGACTCCTGAAATTTGACGAGCTGTGCGGTAGGGCCTTCTGAGAATTTGGGGAGACCATGAACAGAAGGAAAGCCGTACAGATATGCAAATACCTTATGCAAACCGAGGCTTTGCTTTTTCTGCAACTGAGGGTAATTAAGTGGTTAGAGAACTGCCTTTGAGCCTCTTCTCAGAAGCAATGGTGAAACTGTTGGCTAGTTGACTTCATCAGGCCTTAGCCAAACCGAGATAAGTCACATTAAATGTCCACTGACACAAACCCAGGGCCTGTTGAACACTGGGAACCCCTAATACAGAGCCTATGGGTGGGGAAGCTGGCCATCCCTGGGCCTGAAGCTCAGGGGCTGCAAGGCAGGAGCCTAAAGGGAGGTTGTTGGACCTTGTTAATTGTGCTTTTTTGTGTAAGGAACCCAAAGCCCTTTACAGAAGTGACCTCCACCAGGCTCACCTCACTGCAGTGAGCTCCTCCTGCGACCAGAGTGTTTTCAGCTCACACGCCAACTCCAGAGTGAGAAAGATTTATTCAAGGTCACCCAGCAGATGGAGGCCAAACCTTGGGTAGCACTAACTCCTAGCCCTGTGTCTTATCTTTCAGGCACTCTTTATCTCAGCCTGTGGCTTTTAGGGAAACAGAAGGGAAAAAAAAAAAACAAGCAAACAGTTCTTTTCCAAGAGCAGTCAAGACTGGCCTTTCTGGAACCAACCTGGAGTTCTCAGAATACCTAGCACAGGAGTTATGAGAAAAAGAT